AGCGCAGGGAGAAGCCCGCACCGCCCCGCACCGCCCCGCACCGCCCCGCACGGCGCACGCCTTTCTGGCCACCTGCGCCGGGGCCCTCTGTCCCTCCCAGCCATGTCCTCACCAGGCGCCGAGCAGAAGTCCCAGGGCCTCTGTGTGACCGCCCGCGTCCAGTGCTGCGCTGCCGTACGCCCACCGGGCGCAGCCCCATCCAACGGCTCGCAGAATTCAAATTCGCCCACTTCCGCTTGCGACCCGGAAGGCACGGCTGCTCCGCTCCGCCCCGCCCCGCCGCTGGGAAGTGGGCGGAGGGTGGCTGAGTCTGCGTTGTGGCATGTGGTGCGAGCGTACCCGGAGTGTTGGGGGGTAGTGTGGTGCGGTGCGTGCGGCGCGGTGCGTGTGTGGCGAGGAAAACAACTTCTTGTGCACGGTCCGTAGACCAGCCAAGCGCGCCAGGCACCCCCAACAGGCTGGAGCGAAAACAGGCTTACTCCATGCTAATGAGAACGCGTGTAAATGCGGCTTCTTGCTGCCCTCTCGCGTCAGGGATTCCTTTGCATCACAGTTCCCTATTGTCCTGGAAGATTCCTGCTTGGCCCTGGGGTGTCGGTTTCCTTTAGCGAGAGCCCGGATAAAACTTTTAATCCCCAAAGTTTGGAGTTTCTGAAGGTGGACATCTGGGAGGCTTAAGGAACTCCCCCAAGGGTTTTGGTCCTTTAGGCAGACGGCTGAAAGAACACCACTGAAAACTTTAGAGCTGGGATCAATAGTGATCAGCTAATAATACCTGAGAGCGCTGGTTTAAACTTGCTTGTCCCTAACAGCGTTGAGTCAGCGTCTTTTAAAACACGGTTTGAAAGATTTGCTGGATTGCTAGAATCCACCAGATTCTAGATACTTGGCAGGAAGGTAGAAAGTTATTGACCGGTTTAACGTTTTTAACAGTGGGAAATGAGAAATAATCTGTCCACCAATAAAGAAAAGTTAATCATGATATTTTAGGATTCGAAGTTCAAAGAAGATCAACGATATTGAAATACTGAGAAATCAACTTTAGAAGGACTGTAATACCCTTTTGAAGTACGTGTGTATGCATGGTAAAACGAAGTTTCAGGATGGAACCTCAAGGTGTACCAGTTATCTCTGGCAGTGAACCTGGCAAAAAGGGAGGGTAAAGGGGGATCTTAAAAACGTTACCGCCAGCTGAATTTTCAGATTAAGAGTATTTGACACCGCCAAATTGTTTTTTAAAGGAAAACTGTTTGAAATTGAATGTAATCTAAATACAGAAACAGGCATGTAAATGAATGTATGGACGTCATTCATACTTCAGTGATTGAGGTGCTGCAGACATGAATCAGCAGCTTAAGAGAAGAGTAGTGGCTACTTGTTCAGAGGTCGTGGATTCACTTCCCAGATGACAACTTGAATCCCAGGGTGTCTGGGTTCTTTTTCTGGCCTCCTCAGGCACTGTATACACCTGGTGTATATACATACAGACAAAACACCCAAACACATAAAGTAAAATGAAAAAAAATTAAGAATGATATAGCCACATATTGTTATTAATATGTTTTACTAATTAATGTTCCGCATTAATATTGTGAACTCATTATGAATATAGTTCTTGAAGACTTCCATATGTATTTTACAATCCTTTGCACCTTCTCTCCAGTAAGTTTTATTTCTCACAGGAATTAAAATTCTCAACCTAACCTTCAAGCAAAGTTAAATATTCTTGGGTAGGCAATTGATACAATCTAGAGGTCTTAATGGTTCGTTTTTCTCTGTCAGTTAAAGGATTAAAAGGCAGGAAAAAATCTTGAACATAGCAGGTAGCATCAGAGAAATCTCAACAACACCACAAACAGAATCAGCTATTAAAGAAGCTGTTAGAGGGGATGGAGCTTGCTTTTCTTGTTTTGTTTTGTTTCTCAAAGGAGTTTTCCTCTACCTAATGTACAGTTGATCAGTTTGAAGAAAAATGGTCTGTTTGGTTGACCCTCAGCTGTTGTGTAACACGTCCTGATCTTACCTTGAACTTGTTGAGCTAGTCCATCAACAGGGGGCCTGCTGGAGAGAGCCAGAAGCCTACAAAACCTTTGTTTTAAGCTGCCAAGTTTTTGTCTCAAGTCAGGAAGGTGAGGAAGAAGCCTGCTGTGTTGGAAATTTACCACCTTAATTACCTCCCTATGGGCCCCGCCCCCCTACCTGTCTGCCGGCCAAGAAGTCTAACTCCCTAGTAGTCTCTAACTGTGATAGATTGCTTAATCTCTGGCATCATCAAGAAAAAGAAAAATACTACCTGGCTTCCTGTAGTAGCCGGGGTTTCTAGACTAACAGAATTTATAGAAAGACTCTATATAAGAAAGGGGATTATGAGAATGATTTCCAGGCTGAGAGAAAACTAATCCAACAATTTCAGGCTATGAACAGAAAGTCTTAAGAATCCAGTAGTTGCTCAGTTCTCAAAGTCGGGTATCTCAGCTGGTCTACAGTATATGCTGGAATCCCAAAGAATGCCAGTGAAGGAATGGAATTGCAAGCAAGGTAAGAGCAAGCAGGAAAATGCAAAAGCTTCCTTCTTCTGTGTCCTTCCACAGGCTGCCAACAGAAGGTGTGGCTCAGACGTGATCTTGGCTAACGATCTGAACTGAGGGTGTGTCTTTCTACTTCAAAGACCCAAATTAGAAGTAGATCTTCCCACTTCAAATTAAGCAGAAATTCCTCACAGCTCCCCCTCTCCCCACCTCTCCTTTCTGGGTTTTAAGTTAGTCCAGATGTAGTCAAGTTGACGGCCAAGAAGAGCCATCACAAACCCACCCCTTGTCAATTAATTTCCAAATAAAAACAATAAGGGGGAGGGGAGAAAACAATCACCAGGTCATAATAATGACTAAACATAGCTGAAAAGTTTCTGCACCCCGATAAGTCTCTCAACTGACTCAACAATCCAAATCAGACAAAATCAAACCGAATTAGAAAACGCCCATGTTTAACGGATACAACGCTCCCAGATAGAGAGACTGGAAAACCACTTCTGTTTTCTGGAGGACAGTTTAAATACCCTGTATGAGTTGTCTTGAGTGTCTCTGGGGAAGGGGTCATCATTTTGCCGGCTTTCTGAGATGAAGCAGGGTTTGGAGAGAGATAGGGGATGAGGCTTGGGATGGAACTTCCACCAGAGCATTCCAGACTCTTTGGGTATATAGACGACAGGGAGGGGCAGGGGTAAAGCTTCCACCATAACAATATCTATTCCACATACAATTGCAAATACAATGCATATTTGACCAGGTTGTAACTATGCCTAACATAGTATAGCTACCCCTCATACAACTGCAAATGCATTATACGTTTAGAATAGGTGGCAATGTCCCCTGAGGGACATTCTTTTAGTATCTCAAACTTAAATATGATAACCATTGATATTCTCTTAGTTGATGTTATATCATGATAAAGAAATTGAGGAAAGAAAAAAATATTGTACTAACACATTCTTAACAAAATAGAACAGAAGCACTCATGGCAATTATAATCCTCTTTTCTTTAACTGTTCAAGTGGCCTTAGCTGGTATTTAACTACCTTCCTCTACTACCTGTTCTGTAGTTCCCCCAACCTCAGAAAGCACCTCAGCATGTCTTGGCTGTTTTCCCAGAGAAGTGACCCATACTTTCATTCCTGAAGGGTCTGTGTCCTTTGTCATTCTCTCTATGTTAAGACTGTTGCAGTTTCCCATTGACTTCAATCACAGGTCATGGTAGCACTAAGATACAACCTAAAGGATCTGCACATAATCTCTCTTACCTCAATTTTGGAGAAGCAATCCAATTTCCCATGGTAATCTGGGTCAATCATCCCTCCTAACACTGTTATTCCTTTCTTAGACTGTTGGCTTTTAGGGCATCAGAAGTCCAAAGTTGCCAGCGGGAGGAAGTCTGAGCTTCCAGTTCAGTGGAATGTTTGTGTGGCTCCTGGAAGGAGCTCTCCCCAGCTCTGTAACTAAAACTTCTAGGCCAGTAGAACTTAATGTGGTGGGAATAGGAAGAAAAAATTTTCTAGTCTATTACAGGGGTGATAATGATAACTGGATTGGTGGATCCTGGCTATCAAATAAATTGTACCATATATTGGATACTGATTCAGAGCATATACTGCCTTCTGAAGAACCTTGCCCCAGCCATCCAGGCTGTGACCACCTAATTTGCACTGTCTTCAAAAGGCCATTCCATCTTCCTATCAGGTCAGCTGCTTCAGAATGGTTGGGAACATGCTAAGACCAGTAGGTTCCATGATTGTGGACCCACTATCATACTTCTCTGGCTGTGAAGTGAGTTCCTTGGTCAGAAGCATTAGTGTGTAGAATATCATGACAGTGGATCAAACATCCCGTAAGTCCTTGATGGTTTGGGCAGAAGCAATAGGTGCAGGAAAGGCAAATCCATAACCAGAATTAGCATCTACTCTAGTAAAGACAAAAATGTTGTCATTTCCACAGAGGAAGTAGTCCAATGTAGTTAACCTGCCACCAGGTTTCTGGCTGGTCACCTAGGGAATAGTGCCATATCTGGGGCTCAGTGTTGGTCTCTGTTGTTGGCAGATCTGGCACTCATCAGCAAGTGGTGAGAAGAACATTGTGAAATGCACGAATAACCCCCATCTTTGCTACCATGCCTCTTTCTTCATGGGCCCATTGGGCATGAATGGCTGAGGAGAGAGGCTGACTGTCAATAGAACACCCCACATAATCTACTTGATTATTGAACTTCTCAGCTGAAGTTACCTTTTGATGAGCATTTCCATGGGAAACAAGTATCTTCACATCCTTCACCTATTTGGAGAGATGTATCCACATACTTCTTCCCCAGGCGTCTTTCTCACCCATTTTCCTATTATGCTCTTTCCAAATTCATGACCATCAGCCCATGAACCAATAAACAATCACATTCTGACCGTTTCCCCTTCTAAACAAAATGTAGGGTTATATGCACTGCCTGAAGGTCTGCCCACTGTGAAGATTTTCCTTTGTCATCATCTTTTAGGATTGGCCCAGAAGGGGTGTAATGGGACAGCTATGCCCTTCTGGGTGATGTCTGCAAAACATGAAGAACCACTCGTAAACCAGTCACACCCCATGAGGCTATACCACGTATATACCACTTCCATTTGATAATAGATCGCTACCATGCATGTTCTACTTTATGACTCTTGGGATCAGATAACACCCAGCTCATGATGGGCATCTCTGGTTACATGGTA